CCCAGGATAATTATGGGTGAGAGCAACCCGCTTCACAACAACATCTATGGACCCCCTCAGCCGGGTTTCGGCATGCCCCCTCCCAACTACAGCCAAGCCCCCGGGGAGCCATACCCCCCCGGCAACAGGATACGGACAGCCAGGCTACCTCCAGGCAGGACCGGGCTTCGCCCCTGGTCCCTACACTCAGATGCCTTATGCTCAGATGCCATGCCCACAGGGACCCTACCCGCAGGGGCCTTATCAGCAAGGACACCCGCAGCAAGGCTTTCCCGTTGACCCGATGGCTCCTACCGGCAGTCCTGGTTACCATGGCGAGGGGCCTCCATACGATAACGAGGAGTTCAGTGACTCTGGCTTTGAGGACAAGACCATCAGACAAGCATTCATCAGAAAAGTCTTCATGGTTCTCACGGTGCAGCTGGTTGTCACTTTTTCGTTTGTTGTTGTCTTCACCTTCATCGATGAGGCCAAGTACTTTGTGCGGCGCAACCCGTGGACATACTATGTGTCCTATGCAGTCTTTTTTTGTGTCTCTGATTGTCCTCAGCTGTTGTGGAGACTTCCGCCGCAAACATCCCTGGAACTTAGTCGCACTGTCCATTCTGACCCGGAGTCTCTCCTACATGGTGGGCATGATTGCCAGCTTCTATGACACAGAGACTGTCATCATGGCCGTGGGCATCACTGCAGTCGTCTGCTTCACGGTCGTGCTCTTCTCACTACAGAGCAAGTATGACTTCACTTCCTGTCGGGGCGAGCTGTTCGTTTGCCTGATTGTGCTGTTGCTCTTCGCCTTTCTCTGCATCTTCATCCGCCACAGGATCCTTCACATCGCTTATGCCTCACTGGGGGCCCTGCGCTTCACTTGCTTTTTGGCTGTGGACACTCCGCTCCTCCTCGGCAACAAGAAGCTGGCTTTGAGTCCAGAGGAGTACGTTTTTGCCTCTACCTCTACACTGACATCGTCAACATTTCCCTCTACATCCTGGCTATTGTGGGACACTCCCGCGAATAAGGATGCCCCTTGAAGAGAATACGTGGGAAAATTCCTCCCTTTTATTGTGAAATGTTGCTAACATGCTCTCTAACTCCTTCAGCCTATTCCCATCTTTATTTCCTCTCTAATTGGACATTTTCAACAGGCAGTTATGTTGTGAAACCGGTGCAGCCTGTCTTAAAATCCTACTGAGAGGGAAACTATTTATTTAATACAAGTCAGGTCATTAATGACAAAACAGTCTTTCTTTTTCCTCAATCCGACCAATGCGCTCACTGTAACTGTGCTTCTACTAACAGAGATGTCAACATTATGGCTACAGTAGCTCATTCATACGTTACAAAATGTGTTTTCCTGTGAATGCACTTCACTCAGCTTCGCCTTATTGCAAAAATTAAACAGAAAATGAGTGGGGAGGGTATGTAAAAGTGCCCAATATGGATGCAGACCAGCTTTCCTTGAAAAGAGCTTAGTGCTAGAAATGCCCTCCTCTTTCAGGCTAGAGCTCTCGGAGGAATCCCTCTGTCTCGCCTGTTGCAGCTGTAAATAGTTGAGTGTATAACTGTGTATAATACTTCGCCCCTCAATACCCCAGATGTGTTGCTTTCGGCTAAAATCTTGCCTTGTACACCAACTAAAATCCTTTTGAAGGCAAAATAATGAAAATACATATTGGATGTGAAAAACATGAACATACATTTTTATTTATAAAAGATATATTCTTATTGAATGTCATTGTGTTTTGAAATGATTTCTATTGTTCTAAACTGAGATGTCCGCTTCTTATTTACTGTCCTTATTAATTTATTCTCATATGTTCATTAACGTGAAGTGAACATTTTTTGCTGTATGTTTTTTTTTTTTCTTATTACTTAACTTTTGTTCACATTAGTTGTATTGGAATTACTGCCCACTTCCTCAAGCAAGCTGATACAACTTTCAGGGCTTCAGACTTCTACCGCTATTCTAAAGCAGCCGGACGACAGGCTTATATTTATTGAGCTTGATGTAGATAACAGGGTTGCTTTGAGGTTGCTTTTAAGATGATATTAAGGAAGACACCTGCTAATGCTGTTGTTTGGAAATTTACAAAGACATTTTCACTTAAAGTGATTGTGAAACCATTTGTACACTGATTACACTCATAGGCTAAAGGAATTGCTATGCACTGGAAGCCACCATTCTCACTGCATGTAAACACATACAACTTGAAGGATATATTTAAAATGGATAACAGTTTTATTTTGTAATTTCTATATGGATTTTTCACCTCTTGCATGACCCTCTCATTTGCATGTGCTGGTAATGCACACTATGCAGGTATTCCTGTTTTTGGAGAGACACGCTGTTGTTTGGCAGCCCTGTTAACCTTTTTTTCAACTCTTGTGTTTGTGTCTAACTGATATGTAGGTGTACATAGAACTCCTTCGTGGATTTGTCGGTCTGTTTGCATGTCTTTGCATTAAATTGAAGTGGAGCCACATTCCTCTACATTGCTGTTGGCTTTTCATTAAAACTGATAAATTGTAAAAAAAAAAACTATTCAAGCTGTTTGCAACCTTTGGAGTAACTACCATAACCCTGTGAAGTGTTTGCCTACTATTAAAATCCTAACCTTTCAGCAAGTAAGGACATAATTTACAGTGACACGTATTATTATGGACCTCATGTGACCTTAAATCAGTACACATTGAAAAAAGATAATAGCAAGAGCCAAAAACATCTTTAGAAGCTATGAACATCTTTATCCCTCCAAAAAAAGTTCATAGGAAATAACTATGCATGAACATACCAAAAATAAAGCACTTTAGTTTTCTGCAAAGCAACAACAATACTTAATGTGAGAAGATTGTACAACTCACATAAGAGATTCCACCAAATGTATATCTTAAAATGAAACACTTGAATAAATCAGATATATTTCCCCTCTTTTATATCAATACATGGATCCGTTTACACAGCAACAACCTAGTGCAGCTTCACCGCCTCACCGATCAATGAGTCAAACCCATCTCGTGCATCCAGCCCAATGATTACTCATGCATATACAGTGTGGTCATTGACCATTTAATCATGATATTGGTCTTTTCTTGAAGCCATTTCGGATTGATACAGTATTCCAGTTAGGATAATCGGAATTTGGAAACTCGGAAATTCAAGGCAGCAGTTGAACAGTTTCTTTCAACTCAAGTTACCATAAATTTCTTCAAGTTTTCTTAAACAGTATGGCCTGTAAAACCTGAGTGCCAAAAGAAAATGATAATTGAATAGCAATTTGAGTCAAAAACTCATCAACTCATGAGGCTGCATTGTAACTATTGTAGCTTGAAATACAATTCTAAAAACATAATGATCGACATGAAATCTTTTGCAGGCACGGTCAGATCCATTAAAAATGTTCTCCACAGTGATTTTAGTCATGAATGCCGTGTAAGTTTAATTTTTATTCTCAGATTTCCGGCTGAGTTGAATGGATTGACATCACATACAAAGTGCTTTTACAACGTTGCTTTTGAATTTATAAGAGACATATTAAGTAAAAGAAAAAAATAATAAAATCCACCTTTCATCCAAAAAGTACTTTGATAGAGGAGATGTTGTAGAATTCGCGGCTCATTTGGGATGGGAAAAAACTGATGGCCATGCATGTTAACAGCCTATGTGCCTTCAAAGCCCTACGGGCTACAAAGGGCTCTTTTAGCAAATGGATGGCAGCAGCTGCAAACTCTGGGCTGTTCCTAATGTGCACGGTGCAGATGTCTGCACTCAAGTCCCACAGTCTGAGACGGATCTGTCTGGCTCTACACTGAGCCGCTCTCATCATATCACTGTAGCTTCATTAAGCTCTGGGCTCAATACCAACATCTGCCCGACAGTTTTCACTTTACAATTAGAAGGGAAATGACACACACACTCAAAAGTCCAGCAATAACCGCTAAAGTTGTTGTTGTTTGCGGTCAGTGTATCCCTTTGTTTATATTTTGTTTGCCTCATGTGAAATGATTATCAGTTCATGACATATGAGTTTTTTCTCACTGACGGAAGCTGCTTTGGCAACAGGTTGAAAAGGCTGAATCAATGAAGAGTGATACCGTTCACACTTTTGTGGAAAGTAGAAGACATTTCCTCACGATTTTTGATTGTGTTGACTGCATTTTTGTCATCAGACTGGTAACGTGTTTAGGCAGGAAAATTTGAGCAAACAATGCAGGGGAGTGTAAAATATATGTATTCTTGTTGACTCTTAAGAGAGTTGAATGCTGGATGCTGCAACATGGCTCTGTCTAAAACTGTGTCTGTGCCTAATGGCTGGATGGGAAAAGGCAACATCTGGATTTAGATATCGTCTGCCTCACTCTATACTTAAATGTTGTCAAATAACAACACTTGGTGAGTGCCCTTGGACGGTCAAAAACCAATTACAGTATGAGACAGTCCACACGAGAAGGAAGGAAGGAAGGGAGAGGAGCTGGTGGATGGGTATAAAAAAAAAAAAAACAGGACTTTGGTTAAGTGCACCATGCCAAGCAAGAGACAAGGGACTCATGTAGGTAGAAAGTGAGTCACTCGCAAAATTGTGTGAAATGCTCGTGCAAATACACCGGTCACGTGATTCGTTTCACCCCTTGAGTTGCTAACATCGTTTGTGGGGAGAGTCTATTGTCACGCGAGTCGTTGGCTAGTCAGTCTAGTTAAATACAACCACGCTCTTTGCATTAATGAATTGTTGTTGTTTTTTTCCCTCAACCTGTGTGTAAAAAGTCCAAACTGTCAAGCCATCCTTGAAAAATCCAAAATGGACTCTAAAGGGGGTACCTAGTCCAAGTACGGTGTTTGACAAGATGCCAGCAAGAACATGTTGTCACAGGAAGTAGTGAGGCTGGAAAAATTAGACCGAGTAAGCCCCGTCAGGAGGCGACTGGTAAACATTACCGATAGAAGCTATTGGGAAAGAGATCAATACACAGTGAGAATAAATGTGTTGCAGACATGAACCAAATATTGTTGACTATTGAACTTATTTAATGCTTAAAACAAATACAAGTTACTTCACTGGGTCATCACAATTAAACAGGAGATTTTTTTTTATATTTGTAACACCCTCAGAAATATACATTCACATGGCAGCATACAGACAATTTCTCTCTTTTAGATTTTCTCTCAATAACATTAAATGGACATACTGTATACGTCACCCCTTTTGTATGACAGCAAAGCCGCTAGTGGCATATCAAAAAACGTACCGGAGGAGCATTTCTAGGTGGGACTTTGGAAATAAGCTATCGGCTTCTTCTATCCATCATCGATTCTCTAGGCTTGCAGTCAAAATAGGTATATTTTACATAAACAGGGTCCCTACACAGTTGTCCCTAAATAAATCCCAACTATTATCTCAACCGTATGTACAGTATTTACAGTGGAATGTTGAACATACTGGATACAAAAAGTAGATTAGGATGGAATGGAGTTACAGTCAATATTACAAAATAGGAACTCATAACACCCCGACAACATGAAGACAATGTTCACATCTACCAGTATACACAACGACAACCTTGATGTGAAAAGGTTTTAATTCCTCCAACACGTACAAGCGTGCCAGTGGTTTCCTAATGGATGCAGGAAAAGTGTACAATGAAACCTTTATACTTGTGCTTTTCAAAGGGGGTCAAGTTGAGCTTTTCTTTGCGGCACTTTTTGAAAACATTTCAATGAAATCTCCTTTTACTCCATTATTATAATTATAATTGTTGTGCTTAGAAAGGTCAGCGCTGTGCGAGAAAGTGGTGAAGGTTTGATCTCAATTTAGCAGTACGCGTCATATCTCAATATTCGTCTATGACGACATTCTACGGCATGGATAACTTGTTGGAGCAGCAACTGTTGCGACTTCGGACTTATATAGGCACTGAATACAAGAAGATAAGATAAAATCGTTTGTCTCTATTATGCTGCAACATGTAAACTACGTGGAATTAAAATGTTACAGCAAATCAGATAACCAAGAGGCGATCAATAAACTAAAAGGCAATGAAATTGTGATTTAAAAAAAATAGATCTTGCAACTGTGGTTGACTTTTTCTTTTGAAAATTACACTGAACCACAAAAGACACGAAAATGGCGGTAGAAAATTTAACTGAACAAAACAGAAATCAGCAGACTCATTTTAATCAGAATGGGATATTTCCCACTTTTGAGATGTCAATTTCTTTTGGAAGTACAATTTTTAAATTGAGGCTTGTGATTAACATGCTCATCTAAAAAGATACAGTAGACAAACACAGATTTTAAGATATTTAAATCTCAAGTTGATGGAGAGATCTGCTCAAAGAGAGGTGTTATTTTTTCAAATACATATGTGTATATATATGTTTTTTTTTACTACTTATCCATGGACTCATACCTCAGTCAATACTGACAATACTGAGTCATTTTTAGAATTGCAAATGAAGACAAACGCACGGAAATCGATACAGAAAGAAACGTGACGTACGCATCGCCAACACAAATAAAAAGCATGCATAAAATAATGCATAAGCTTGATATAGTATTCATAGCATTTATATCCAGGACATTACTCAAATGCTGTTTTATCTGATGTTTCACATTTAATTTGTCCCTTTTTTAGCTTGAAGCAAAAGCCTTTCGGTGAATATTGTGTAATGGACATTTCTGACTTCTGACAGACCTAAATTCAGATGAAAACTAAAATGAATTAATAACAGATGGACAAACTAATCAAAGCAGCAGGTGACATATTGGACACCTTCTTGTTGGTAATTCCCTTTACATGTTAAAATGTTTCTTCCATGGCATCTGTCGACATTTCCCTCACATCCGTGTCCTTGAGATCCATGGACGACTCCTCACAGAAATGCTGTTGGTGTAAGCGTGGAGGGGTGTTGTGGGTAAAAGTGTGTGTATGTGTGTGTGTGTGTGTCTGTGTGAACAAGATCTCCAGCAGAGTCACACAATTATAAGGAGAGATAAAAGTCATTATTGGGAAATTCCACAGACACTTTTCTGCGACATCCATTTGATAAAAGGAGGGTCAGAACCAAACATTAATATGACACCTCAGCACAGAGAGAAACGGACATTTCATTATAGGGGTAAGATGTAGAGCTCGTGAGCAAAGGTCAATCTGTTCAAGTCAATTGAAAATCATGACATTTCAGGGCGTAATTGAAACAGACTCACCAAAACTTGATGCTGTGATGCACTACGGAAAGAAAGTGGTTCAGCCCTCCTCTTCCCCCCTTATTCTGATTTACTGATTTGGAAACTAATTAAACTTAATTGAAATTTGGGGGTAGTGTGAAAACACACAGTAGGCCAACTTGTTCTTAGGAAACAAATAAAACCAGGGAGGGAGATCAAGAAGGACTAAGCGTGTTTTGGGGAAACAGCAATAACACATCTGCTCGTAATGCAGTGAAAATACAAAAAATGAGTCTTTTCATTGACGCGATCCCCAGTGCGGAACGGCAGAAATGGTACAGGTGCTGTGGGGCTTTTTTTTTTTTTTTTTTTTTCTCTGAAACATCTGACCACAAAATTACAAACACTTACAACTCCACCTGTAATCATGTCAAACATTTAACTCTCAATTCTCTGGTCACTTAAAAATAATACAAAAAGATATTATAAAAAAACCAAAAACGGCAATGAAAAAAAAAAAAAAAAAGGTCGCAAATCCAGTGTAGGACCTTCACAAGTGTGCTCAGCAAAAACCTCAACCTGTAGTCTCTTTTCACACATTTAATACATTTATATCATGAGGAAATACACAAAATGAATATTACACCAGTACTGATGGACCACAGTCACTTACATACCTTGGTTCGTACTCTTTGCTCATTCACCTCATGGAACTGACACCAATGCTGTCATGTTGAGGAGCACATGTCACTAGCACTAGGCGCTCGAATTTTTCTAATTGAGATTAGTTGGATGATGTTGTTGGTGGGGGGGGGGGGTGGAGTTGGGGGCTAGTGGTAGGGGGGTACCTAGATAGACCATAAGAGGAACGGGACTGTGGAGGGTGCAGTCTGACGAATGGTAGGGCGGGAAATAATGACAGAAGTGAACAGTGCAGTGGAATGCAGGTGGGGTGGGGTTTGTTGGTGGGGGAGGGTGGTGAGGGGGGGAGGGTGAGGGAAGGGGTGAGGAGGGTTTGGTTTGGTTGCTGCATGCCACTACACGTACCACTCTTTCTTAGAAATGACAGAGCCGTCGGTCTGAGAGATCATGTCGTCGGCTATCTCGGCCTGAGGGTCATACTGGAAAGCCAGAGTCCGCTCGTCATAATCTCGGCTCTCCGCCTCGTCCACAGTGAAATAGGGCCTCTTCAGGTCCTCTTGCTCTCCGTCAAAATTGCACTCGCTCGCCTCGAACCCCCCGGGGCCGCCGATTTGGGTCGGCTTCTTCTCGTCGTCCGAGTCGTCGGGGTACTGGAGGTTCTTGGGGATGGGCGGGTGCGCGGGCAGGCCGCCGGCCTTGCTATACCCGTTACCGAACACGTGTTTCTTGGTGCTGTAGTCCCCCTTGAAGGTGCGCTGCCGGCGGCGCAGGAATACGAAGAGCAGTACGGCCGCCACGCCTAACAGGGCCACTCCCCCCACTGCGACCCCGATGGCGACACCTGCATTGTGCTGCTCCAACGGGATCTCATAGCCCGGGGTGCTCAGGTTGTTAGGGAATTCTGGGTAGGAAAAGACAGATGGAAGGGAGTGTGTCAGTGCTCTGTGGGGAGGAGGTGCATTTGTGCAGGGTTTTTTTTTATTTTTATTTTTTAGGAGAGATGAAGGGAGACAAGGACGGAAAAGCAAAGGGAAAAGGAAGGAACCCCCGCGGCCCCCACGGCAATCCCTACCCCCAACCCCAGAGGAGCCCTCACAGTGCGTGGCAAGGCTCCAACAGTCGCATGCAGTTTCAGACATTGTACAACACAACACCATCGGAGAGTAAAAACAATAGGAGGGAGTAAAAGTGAAGGATGTTTGTCAGTGTGTATTGGCCATTGTTTCTTCTTCATTTGAAAGGCAGAAGAAAATGGGACAGTTAAATCAAAGGAGCTAAGAAATAATTAATTCATGATCGTGGCCGCAGTTAACATTTTCAAGCCTTCAGGGGTTTCACACAAGATCAAAGTAAGCACATGATGACATTCTGTAGTACAGTCCATCATTAAGGTGACATGTAACCGACTTCATCATCGGTGTAGCGGTAATGAAATGAAAGAGCACTGCCAGAGATGATTAAACAGCAGCCGAGCTTACACATCATCATGCATCAAGGGAGCAGATAAGCACGAAGCTCCTCCATTCAGGCAGCAGAGAACACAGCAGAGAGGAAAAAACAAAAGGCATACCACTGAAGAAAGAAAGGATCAGACGAGTGAAAAGGTGTTGCTCTAATCTAGAGCGCCAATGACTAACAGCCCACTGGAGACAAACAATATCAAAAGGATTTAAGAAGCTAGGTTTGTGCCTTGTTTTAAAATTCAGAACTGCCACAATGTTAACGCTCACATCCATTCCATTTTCTTTTTTAAGAGCACACGGCCTCCTCGCGGGGCGGCTATGGCGCTTGTGATGGGCGCGGTTGTTGCTCGCGGAGTGTCAGAAACCGTGTCTCCTACGCTCACCTCACTTCATAGAGGACCCGCAAAAAAAAATGCGCGAAGCTCCTTGAAGCGCCGAGACGGAAGGAGACGTCTACTGTGAAACGCGATCAAAGGCTGGAGGAGCACAGGTAGCGCTCGTCTAAACCCGCAGAGCAGAGCCGCGTTCAACTTCAATGGCGCAACGCTGAATCCCCAGCAGAGAGGTGGTGGTGGTGTTGGTGGTGAGCAGAGCGGGGTGGGTACGACAAAGCGTTAAACCATCTATTTTCTTAAACAAATGGTGTGGGAGATAATACAGAAAGCAGGAGAGCGGAGCGGTGTTGAAGTCAAGTTCACACACACCCAAACAGGAGTCAGACGAAGCACAGAAAAAAGATTTACTGCCGCGGATGATACTAATGCCTGCTGCTGTACGGAGTTATTATCATCCTAATGTGACACATCGGGATCCAGGGAGCAGAGATCTTAGCGCTGCTCATTAGCCGGCTTCTCAGAGAGAATATCAGACATGATCTGAGTAAATCAGTTCGATTCATTGAACTATAACATCTTAAATGCGACATATTTTACACCGTTTATGGTATACCATTATGTTAATTAGATATTAAATTACCGTTAATTCAATTAACACCAATCACAATCAAGCCGAAATGAAGGTTTATGTCATGTAATCCTACGTTCCGAGGATATATTAATTTCTCTTTGCAAATTACCCCACAATATATGATTGCCCTACAAAGTTGAATGTATTTTCTTTTCTTTTTTTTGTGATGAAATGGTAAACCTCTGCAAACCTCTGGCAGAAAAAGAAGGTATCAGGCTCGGCAGAGGCGCCGCGGAAGCTTTCCCCCTTTTCCTTTAATTACAGCGGCACTCTATCAGTCCAAAACGCGGCCCGCTCTCCTCGGCTGCTCTTTCCCGTCGGCCCGCCCCCCCCCAGGGCCCGGGCAGCAGCGCTCTCCATTTTCTAAAGCGGTGCTGGGCACGGTCTCAAATATCAGCTCAGGTTTTAATCTGAACACCTAATGGGATTATTCACAGGCCTTCATTACACACATGAATGAGAGAGCACGGCCAGGTCACCCCTGCCTCGAGAAAACACACATCCTCCAAACCAAGTGCACCGAGAGGGGAGAAAATCCAGAGGATGGAGGGAAGCAGAGAGAGAAAAGGGAACACGTCCTCCTATAATCCCCTCTTCTACCATTAACTGGCTTCCTCTGCTAGGATGCGTCTTCCCTACACCGGCGAGACTCGATATTTACCACCGAAACACGAGGCCTGCGGAATGAGTGGAGGTAAAAGAACACGTGGGGCGCCTTCAAAGCCGCTCTCCATCGCCTCCGTTTGCTGTAAGGGATCAGGTGACCCCACCTCTCGACACCCATAGCCTATTTAAAGACCGCTAGCGTTAACATACACACACCAGACATGAAAGCGCTTGTAAACTTTCTGGTATTTTGGTTGCTCTTTGGCCGCCACATCCACCTCGTGGGAAGATTCTTGACGTGTTCAAGGTGGCTGCACTGTGCACTTCATTAAAAAGAAGAATAAGAAGCTCAAAGATGCCGTCATTTTCTCGTCCGATCGCTCCGATGCCGCGGGGGCAGCACGCCGCTTTCATTTTGAAACTAAAAGAGGCGCTAAGAGGCGAATTCCGCTCTTAGCTAATGTGGCGTTAACTGCCCCTCCGCAAGGTCGTATTAACTCAACACCCTCCCATCCGCTTACTGGCCTTCATGCACACACGGAGAGATAACAGAATGGGAAGCCATCTCGCCACCACGCGGCTTTTGTCTCCTTTTGTGTACTTGATGAATCCGACGATTCGAAATTTGAGTGGCCATGGTGCGAACTAATCACATTACAGAAACACTAATAATAAGACACCTTTTTTTTAAATGGAGGGGCGTTTGACAGCACGGGGGAGGGAGGAGGCGTTCCGACAGCATGCGCCGTCGCTACCGGCAACACCTGCCAAGAGATAGATAAAAAAAGACCTCAAAAGCAGCACAGCAGCCCTGATAGTGTTCCGGGCAAACAAAACGCAGCGTCTATTAATGCCACGCTGGAAATATGCAGATAGGGGGGTAACCTTGAGTAGCAATGACTAAAAATGAACTATTGAGATTAATAGGTGCCAAGATGTGCTACGAGAGGCTATTTTTCAAGGCAAAGGCGTGATAGATTTATACAAGCAGCGGATACCGTGAAACGCCGCAGCTGTTCGAACGCTGCAAACCCTGCGCTGTTGCGTTGCACATTAATCACGCCATTTTGAAACGCTCACATTTTGACTCGCTCGAGTGGATGATTTACTGCCTCCTGAACATTCTACAACTCGATGAGTGTTCTCGTTGGTGTTCAACAGGAGCAAATCTTTGAGACAAACAAGCGGTAAACAAATGTGGCCCACGAGAAAGGAGAAAAAAAGAAAAAGGCCAGACGTCTTGTTGTGGGAATGACTACCAGATTGGTGGCTTTCGGAAAAGAACAGATTTGGAGCTTTTTCTTTCAGTTATTTCAGACGCGACAATAAAAAACAACTAGCAGCAAATGTTCAAAGACGTAAGAGATAGTAAGAGAGGAACATCTGAAGCAGAAATCAAAACCAAAAAAAAGGGAGAAACTGTATCACAACGGCGTCCTGCAGGTACTCTGGGTGTGCTCCGGTCGTGCCTGCACACGACAAAGAGGAGGAGAGGCAGGTACAAGCATTCCTGACCCTGAACGCAATCACTCGGGCAAAGTGTTGTGACAGAAGCTGGGAAAATGAGAAGGGATTTCAAAGAGCGGTACGGGGAGTGGTGTTTTAATGTGACTAAACGAGGAACAAGCTGCAGACAACAGAGGATGAAAAAGACAACAGAGGGCTACTCGGCGTTTGAGGAGTGGCAACGAGGAAGGAAAAGAAAGAAAAAAAAAGAGAAGACGAAGCGAGGGCCTTTTGAGAGGCTTTGGGGAGTGACAACGGCAAATAGAGAATGGCATAATGAATGGGTGAGGACGGGGGGGAGACAAACCGGGAAGACACATTAGTTCAGTGATTCCAACGATCCTCATTACTCCCCCTGTCTGAATGTGCCAGTGGTCGTGAAGTCATGGAAATGTAATGCTGCCACAACGAATGAAAGCTCATCACTGACGGGAATTTAATATGCTGCCGGGGAGCCGGGGCGAAGCTCTTCCTCCCCACTCGCCTCCCAAATACTCTCCTCTTTTACCCTTCGTCAACGGACTCTCCTGCTGCTATCATCGACTATACAGAAGCCCGAGCTTTCCTCACATGCATGCAAACGCCACACACACGTAGGGCGTTTACAAACTTCTGAAGTATAATTCAAATTCATAACAACAAAAATATATTTCATGGGGGGGGCGAAAGATCCGAACGACTCAAAGGACGGTCCTGGGACCCTTTTTGTCAGGGCTTTTAGGGCCTCTAGCTGGTGATCGCAGATTCCCAACATTTCCCCTATTTACAGCCAAGAAGTGCATCTAAAATGACAAATCAGGAAACATCAATGTTAAGCAGGGGATGGTAGTTGACTTCAAAAAGACATTCAGAAAGTGTGTTTTGTGCTCTTGTTGATGTCATTTAACCATTTTGTGCAACACTGGTTGTGATAATCACTCTTAATACGCATTTAATAAGCAATTAATATTTACAGGCATCTAAACAACAATGCTGTTGGGGAGTCATGTTCGCACTCAAGGAATCATCATTAATGCATCTCTGCATTTCCCTGCTAGCCCGCATGTGGCCGTGGTACTAAGTGACTTACAGGGTAAGCAGCAATCTAATCGGCACGTTTGGCAGCCGTTAAGCCAGGAAGGAGTGGTCAGCGCAACGTCTGCAAATCCCACCCTCTGCTTCTCCTCCGTCTGGTTCCTTGTTGTCGTATTTTTCCTCCCTCCCCTCGTTGTTATTTTGGAGCCGCGTGTGTCTAATGACTGAATCACCACACGGCACCGCGGAGCCAGTGGTCAGACCCTGGGACAGAGTCTGACCTACTTCATCAGGCTCTCAGGGAGGCATGACGGATCCAACACAACACTGGGCGGACAGAGGAGGA